CCCATGCAGTTGGTGTGGGTCATAGCAAACGAAAATATTGAAATCGAGCAAAATTCCAGTTTTATGGCCCTAAAACATCAAAAGGAGGAATGATCATGGATAGGCGGTGACTAACGTTCCTTAGGTCATTTTAATGACCGGCAAAATTTTAGGCGACTCGAGTCCAGGCTCTCAGACACATGTAGATGGCATTGGCTATAGCACACGACAATTTGGGAATCGGGTGGAATACCAATTTTATAGTCCTAAAATGCCAAACAATGAGGAACGGTCATGTCAAGGCGATAACTAATGTTTCTTAGGTCGTTCTTGATGGGCCAGCAATATTTTAGGCAATTCAGGTCCTGGCGTGGGCTATAGCACATGAAAATTTGGGAATTAGGTGGAATTACAATTTAATGGCCCTAAACGCCAAAAAACGAGGAACAGTCATGGCAAGCCGATGACTAAGTTTCCTCAGGTCGTTGATGGACCAGCAAAATTTTAGGCGATTCGGGTCCGGGCTCCTGGGCCCATACAGATAGGGTGGGCTATAGCACACGAAAATTAGGGAATCGGGTGTAATTCTAGTTGTCTGACCCTAAAACGCCACAAAACGAGGAACGGTCATTGATAGACGATGACTAATGTTCCTTAGGTTATTTTTTATGGGCCGGAAAATTTTTAGCCAATTCACGTTCGAGCGCCCGAACCCATGCAGATGGCATGGGCTATAGCACACGAAAATCTTGAAATCAGGCGAAATTCATGTTTAATGGCCCTAAAATTCCAAAAAGGAAGAATGGTCATGGCAAGGCAATGATTAATGTTCCTTAGGCCATTTTTTATGGGCCGACAAAATTTTAAGCGTTCGGGTTCAGGTGCCCAGACCCATGCAGATGGCGTGGGCTACAACAAACGAAAATCTGGGAATCGGGTGGAGTTCCAATTTTATGGCCCTAAAACGCTAGAAAAATGAGGAACGGTCATGGTGAGTCAATAACTAATGTTCCTTAGGTTGTTTTGATGGAACGATAAATTTTAGGCGATTCAAGTCCGGACGCCTGGACCCATACAGATGGCGTGGGCTATGGCATACGAAATCTGGGAATTTGGCGGAATTCAAGTTTTATGGCCCTAAAATGCCAAACAAGGAGGGACAATCATGGCACGGTGATAACTTGGTTCCCTAGATCGTTTTTGATGGACCGGCAAAATATTAGGCGATTCGAGTCGGGGCACCCGAAAACATATAGATAGCTTGTGTTGTAGCACACAAAAATCTATGAAACAAGAGGAATCCCGGTTTTATGGCCCTAAAATGCTATAAAATGAGGAACAATTATGGTTAGGCGATGACTAATGCTCATTAGGTCAAATGCACCGGCAAAATTTTAGGCAATTACGGTCCTGACGCCCGAACCCATGAAAATGGCGTGGCATATAGCATATGAAAATCTAAGAATCGACAACATTCCAGTTTTACAGCCCTACAACGCCAAAAGACGAGGAACGGTCATAGAGAGGCAATGACTAATGTTCCTTAGGTTGATTTTGATGGGTCGACAAAATTTTAGGTGATTCGTGTTCGGGCTCTCCTACACATGCAAATGGTGTGGCCTATAGCATACAAAAATCTAGAAATAGGGCGGAGTTCTAGTTTTATGGACCTAAAACGCAAAAAAAATGAGGAACGATCATGGAGAGGCGATGAATAATGTTCCTTGGTTCGTTTTTTGAAGGGCTAAATTTTTTTAGGTGATTCGGGCACAGACGCCCGGACCCATGCAGATGGCGTGGGCTATAGCAAATGAAAATCATAAAACGAGTGGAATTCCAGTTTTATGACCCTTAAATACAAAAAAATGAGGAACGATCATTGCGAGGCAATGACTATGTTAATTAGGTCATTTTTGATGGGCTGACAGAACTTTAGGCGATTCGTGTCTGGGCGCTCGGACCCATGCAGATGGCTTGGGCTATAATACACAAATATCAAGGAATCGGGTGGAATTCCAGTTTTATGAACCTTAAACGCCAAAAATGAGGAAAGATTTTGGCGAGGTGATGACTAATGTTCCTTAGGTCGTATGTGATGGGCCGGAAATATTTTAGGCAATTGGGGTACGGACGTCCGTGCCCATGCAAATGGCGTGGGCTATAGCACACGAAAATCTAGGAATCAGGATGATTCCCAATTTTATGGCCCTAAACTGCCTAAAAAGAAGGAACGGTCATGGCGAGGCAATGACTAATGTGCCTTAGGTCATTTTTGAAGGTCCGAAAAAAATTTAGGCGATTCGTGTCCGGGCGCCGGTCCCATGCAGATAGCGTGGGCTATAGCACACGAAAATCTGGGAAACGGGCAAAATTCTAGTTTTATGGCCCTAAAGTGATAAAAAAGAAGGAACCATGGCGAGGCGATGACTAATGTTCCTTAGACAATTTTTGATGCGCCGGCAAAATTTTAGACGATTGGGATGCGGACACTCGGACCCATGCAAACGATGTGGGCTATAGCACATGAAATTTGGGGATCGGGCAGAATTCAATTTTTTTGGCCCTAAAATGCCAAAAAATAAGGAACGGTCATAGAGAGGCAATAACTATTGTTCCTTAGGTCGTCTTTGATAGGCCTCCAAAATTTGATGCGATTCGGCTCCGAGTGCCTGGACCTGTGTAGATGGTGTGAGCTAAAGCACATCAAATCTAGGAATCGTGTGTAATTCGTGTTTTATGGCCCTAAAACCCAAAATAATGAGGAACAATCATCGCGATCTAATTACTAATTCTGATTTTAGGACGTAGATGGCATAGGCTATAGCACACGAAAATCTTGGAGTCGGGCGGAATTTTAGTTACTAGCCGTAAAATGATAAAAAATAAGGAACTGTAATGGAGAGGCGATGACTAAAGTTCCTTAGGTTGTTTTTGATGGGCCGACAAAATTTTAGTTAATTCGGACCTGGACCCATGGAGATGGTTGTTACATCTTGCATTTTCGTACGTTAAAGTTTCGTCTTCAGTTAATTGATGTAGACTCGGAGATGAGATTATCTTGAGGTTAATGTATTTACGCTATTTGTAACAAGATATAAGTAAGTGTCAAGAAGGATAAATGGTACACGAATTAAAGAAAACGAGTTTCGTTGAAGGTTGCCGATTTGGGATAAAATACGGGTCGAGCGATAATACCTGATAATTATGGACTAGTACCATACAAGGTACCATATGACCATGATAGTATGATGTATAAAGTATATTAAAAATAAGTATTGTATTTTAAGTAGTGTCGCGCCCCCTTTTTCCTTCGCGAAAATCGAGTTTGTGACATTCGGTTGGGACAACTCTTTCCTTTCGGGGAAGGGGTTTTGCAAATTTGAAGAGTCGCCACCAAACGATTTTAAGGTGCGTTAGGGCACCTATAGGGTTCAACTACAACTACATTTTTTGATAACCGGAGATAGGGTAAGGGCTTGAAATTATCCCAAGGGGAAGGTATTAGGCACCCCTGAGGATCCACTAGTGTGGTTCCCAGCCAGATAGTTCTTTGTGAATTTGTGCAATTAACAAGTAAACAAACAAGGCTCAAATAAGAGGGGATTTTAAATACACAAATGTTTGTAAGTGATAAAATAAAACAAAGTTTTGAAAGAGTTATAACTAAACATGCTAACGATTATAAAGGGGGTCCTAGGTTTATTTGTAATATGGATCACATCAATGCAATACCCGGTAATCACTCCTCAAAAGAGGGGCTACACGTGGTATTAGCGCACCAGTCATTATATCCATATCTACCCTTCCCGGCCCGTAAAGGTTTTAAAGCGCGGATTGGTCTCGACCTCTATTGCATGCTATTACCCGTCCCATTCCTATCAGTCCCTGAGGAATTTAGGACTACTATTCCTATAAGAGGGGGGGATTTCAGGCTGACTCTTGGGTTTTCAAAGGAAAAAAGACTAAGGCGACATTCAAAACACATAGGACTGCATATTAGGGGAAAACATGTAAACAACTAAGAGGCTCATATATACCTCCTCAAGTAAAGCACATAAATAACATGACTTAAACACATTTAGGGTCAGAACTTAAAGTACTAAGACAGGGGAATTTTAGTTGTTGAAGCAGACCAATTTATTACATCACTCAGATAAGAAGTCCGAATCAGGCATGCCTGCTGGTTGTAGCAGTTGCTAATTAAACAAAGGCAGATTCAGTTTTATTATTATTACCTAAGGCTTGCCTAAGTGTATATTGATGATATCCGATAAGCATGATATCTATTACTGATTCAAAATGGAAAATAAACCTTTCTAACATTTAAAGTGTAAAAATATAGTTCAAATGTGTAACACAGCAGGTCCCATTAATTTTGAGTTCCTGACTGATTGAAAAGTATTTCACTGGCCAGAAATGGTCATTGTGCAAGCCCCAAAATGCAAACCACAACACTCAAAAGTGGTGAAGAATTTAAAAATTAACCATTAAACAATATAACCAAGGACAAATATGAAGTTCGATCCCAGACATGGACATTGTGGTAAAGGTTCCTTAAATCAAATGACCGCGACCATGTTGCTAGGTGGTGACCTATTTGGAGGAACCAAGCGGATATCCTTTTTCTAATTATGAAAAGGTACAATCTTTTTTTATAAGTGAAAAGATATTGTAATCTAAAGTTGATAGGATATCTCACCTTAAAATTTCGATGACTTATTTACTAATTTAGGCACCAGCATAGGACAATTGTTTTTGAAAGTATCTCCTGAAATGGAAAAAACTTCTGTGCCAACTTCTTGAAATGTCCTTTAGATTTTCCGAAAACGTNACTTCCTCCATAACAAGTTCCTAAAAATCTGAAACTGGACAGTCCCAACCTTCAAGTTGAACCTCCCCCCAAACCACCTGATATTTCAACAGGCCAATCAACTGCCCCTTCCTCGTTTAAGGAAAAGCTTCTGACCAATGACCACGAAAATAATTTTTCATCTTTCCCAACATCATCTCACTTACTACCTATGGCAATTGACCCCATCGAGATGGACTCTGGAATTTCAGCACCAGAACTGGAAAATAACAACACAGTCCAAATAACTGGAGAAGATAAGCAACGTATCTACTATCCCTGGAGATTCTCTTTAATAATCAAACTACAAGAGAAAAAAATTCTCCATCAGGTACTCAAACGGAAAATAACTGATTTATGGAAACCTTCTGAAGCTTTTCCTCTTATTGATTTGGGAGAAGGCTACTACACAGTAAAGTTCAACAAAGAAGAGAACATGGCAATAGCCTTACAAAAAGGGCCCTGGTTCATCTTTGGGGCTTTTCTATCAGTACAGCGATGGGAACCTAATTTCGTGCCATCAAGAGCAATACAAACGCTAACAGCAATATGGGTAAGACTACCTGAGCTACCCATAGAATTCTACGACGACAAGATTCTTGCCAAGGTTGGTAACAAAATAGGGCGTCTGCTCAAGGTGGATACATGTACCTCCGCAGCCCTTCGTGGTCGTTATGCCAGAATATGTGTTGAATTACCTTTAAACAAACAGGTTAAATCCTTTGTATGGATTGGATCACACAAACAACAAATTCTATACGAATGTGAAAAACTCCTTTGCCTCAACTGTGGCTACCTAGGACACTCATCCAGCAAGTGCCTTAAAACCAATACCCAAATAAAAGCACATTTCATAAAACAAAAAGAAGATCTGAAGCAAAAAACACAAAAACACAACATACAAGAAGAACTAGGAAAAGTCATTCAAAAGGACCTGCTTAAACCAACAGTGGAAGACACATCATCGGAGGACTGAAAAACTGTTTCATTCAAAAAAGGTAGCAAAAAACAAGCCTCAAGTAAAGAACCGTCATCAACATCAGGTATAAACGTTAATATCTATGATGCTTCCACAGGTAAATTCCTTACTACTCAAGTGTTTAATTACAAGGCAAGACACAACCACAGTGACAAAGTCAATAACACGATAGACAGAAATCATGTTTCAAACCTCCCTTCCGCTAATACCACCCATAACCATTTCTCTCCTCTCACTTATCAGAACATGGTTTTAGATAACCCACAAAACCACCTTGATAATGATCTAGATAGACCCCTACGACACACTGTCATTGCGCATGCTTCTACTAACCCTTCGATTAAAAACCTAATTAATAGTAGTTTTACTCCTAATAACCCTACTCCTGCAAACAATAATCCTAGTGATTTCTTAAAAAATAAAAATAGTGTTTCAGACCCTAGGGCACCTCTTCCAACCCCCTATCCCCATGGAACCAATAAGGGCAACAACACCAATACCCCACCTCGTAACACCCCACCTCGTAACACCCATACCACCCCTCCAAACCCCCTTACCAACAAGGACACTACAAATGATATTAAACACTTGGCAACAAATGAAGGTCCCTTTTTACAAATGGACACTGCCATTGTACACGTAGATCAGAAACAAACAAATTCCCAAACTATTAATACCAATACGCTATCCCAGTCATGCAACATGCAAACAGATCTTACAGTCATTGCCTCTAATTCTGTGTATTCCCAAGATCAAAACACAACCTCTAAAACCTTGCCTCTCCAACATTACAATGCCCAGAATTCCAATATCCAACCGGAGACACTACAGGCTAATCCAACTTCTCCGCCTTCAACAAAGCATGGCAAATCAAAACAATCCAAATCAGCCTCCTCTCCAAACTCCAACAATCCTGATCCAACCCCCCATGCCAGAGAATCATCAGCCACAATCGTGGGTGGAATTGGGACTGATGGGTCAAGCACTCTCATTCACCACCGTGCTAAATGGGAGGGAAACCATAATTGTCCTCCACAACTCTCATTACCTTGCTCAACTGATATCGGAAGGAATCCGCCTTGCAATGAACAACTACCTAAATCACTTTTGGTTGAACAACATCCTTCAACCAATTGCACCGAATCTACCTCCACATGCAACCCAAACAATGATGAGGGAATGGCAAATGCCNGTAGCAGTTGCTAATTAAACAAAGGCAGATTCAGTTTTATTATTATTACCTAAGGCTTGCCTAAGTGTATATTGATGATATCCGATAAGCATGATATCTATTACTGATTCAAAATGGAAAAGCAGTAACCGTTTTAAACGAGCAATTTGGATCCTATAGGCATGCTTTCTAAACTGCATTAATGAAAGGAGTAAGTTGTTTAAATTGATTCAAAGCAGTACGAGTCAAACTGATTTTTAACTAAACTGGTTTCAGATCTTATAGACATAATCTATATTGTTGCTGATTTTAATCCCCACAGACATGGTATCTAGTATTAAAGGCTGATTTGGTCCTATAGGCATGGTATCTAATGAAGTGGAGTAGGCAGGATTTATTTGATCACAGCAAAATTCCTATAGGCATGATTTCTATAATATATTGATATTAACCTTACAGGCATGACATCTAATTTCGATGTTGATTTTAACCTTGTAAATAGGATGTTTGATTATAGCCATTAGACCCTATGGGCATGATTTCTAAGTGTGGAAGTAAACATGCAGAACTTTATTAAACAGATCCTATAGGCAGGATATCTAAGTGTGGAAGTAAAACATGCAAAAATTTATTAAACAGATCCTATATGCAGGATATCTAAGTGTAGAAATTAAACATGCAGAATTTGAAAGCAGGTCCTATAGGCATGTTATCTAAGTGTAGAATTAAAACATACAGAATTTGAAAGCAGGTCCTATAGGCATGTTATCTACCCTCCTAATAGCTAAACATACATAATTACTCCGTCCCTTTCCACTAGCCAACCCCAATATTTGATTACAAATTATTACAGACCAAATACTGAATTACATCAGAAAAGCGTAAAATAAGAAGTTACAACCATAGGAAGCCTGATTCTGACTTCCTCTCTGAGTTATGGAACAAACCACCTCAAATGCCACTTGTTTCAAAGCCTTTCTTAGACCTGGGTGTATCAAAGTTCCCTAAGGGTCTCAAGGGACCCCGGGCAGTGGTTACACCCAGGTTTGCATAACCAGATAGATCGGAAGTGCGTGTGGAAGGGCCAGCCCTTATGTGT